ATATCCCCAAATTTCCAAGCGGGGGACAATTAAAATAACTATAATCAACCGTTTCGTAGATAGATTAAAGGTTGTAAGCACTAAAGAAACTTTGCCAGCCAGGCTACCTAAACCAGGATATCTTTCGTTTTATGATAAAAAGGTGTATTGGGTCTAAAGATGGATTGATTGCATTAAAGGCAAATAAACATCACCTCCCAGAAGCTGGCCAGACAACGATAGAAAGTTTTTGCTTCCAACAACTGAAAAACCGCTAATCAAATAAATGAAAGAAAAAGTGAGCTAGCTCACATACCCCACGCTCCCCCATAACTTGATGGTGAAACACATAATGAAAGGCACAGTGCACTTTAAATACATAGTATAGATAAAAAAGGGCAATAATTGCAAAAAATCTTCACATCAAAATGTCTTGCATATAAGGACATTTAAATGTGGAATGAAGTTTCCAGATAAATTATGGAATCAAAATTTCTTGACAATATACAAATCTACACATTTATTTGAAGTGGGGGGGGGGGGTGTTGAGAAATTTTCTTGAATAATAGGCAAAACTCTTTGGGATAAAATAATGGAATATGTCCCAAATATCAGCATAGGTTGACGAAACTATGTATAACAGTATAAGAGGAGTGGTGCTAACAAACTGTTCATCTCTATATTCAAAATATGGCAAAAAATTCTAAGTTGGAAAGTGCGGAAATTCCTGGAAAAATAAAGGAATCAGAATTTCCCGGTAGTATGCACATCTACACATTGTATCCTAAATATCTGCAAAGTTTGACGAAATTCTGTGCAGCCGTTTATGAGGAGTTGCGCTGACAAACTGTTCATCTCTATATTCAAGGTATGGCCAAATGCCTAAGTTAAAAGTGCGAAAATTCCCGGAAAAATAATGGAATTGGAATTTCCTGGTAATATGCACATCTACACATTGTGTCCTAAATACCAGCAAAGTTTGACCAAATTCTGTGCAGCCGTTTATGAGGAGTTGCGCTGACAAACTGTTCAACTCTATATTCAAGGTATGGCCAAATGCCTAAGTTAAAAGTGCGGAAATTCCCGGAAAAATAAAGGAATCGGAATTTCCTGGTAATATGCACATTTACATATTGTTTCCTAAATATCTGCAAAGTTTGACGAAATTCTGTGCAGCCGGTTATGAGGAGTTGCGCTGACAAACTGTTCATCTCTATATTCAAGGTATGGCCAAATGCCTAAGTTAAAAGTTCGGAAATTCCCGGAAAAATAATGGAATCGGAATTTCCTGGTAATATGCACATCTACACATTGTGTCCTAAATACCTGCAAAGTTTGACGAAATTCTGTGCAGCCGTTTATGAAAAGTTGCGCTGACAAACTGTTCAACTCTATATTCAAGGTATGGCCAAATGCCTAAGTTAAAAGTGCGGAAATTCCCGGAAAAAATAATGGAATCGGAATTTCCTGGTAATATGCACATCTACACATTGTGTCCTAAACACCTGCAAAGTTTGACGAAATTCTGTGCAGCGGTTTATGAGGAGTTGCGCTGACAAAAAAAGAGGACTGACTGACTGACGGACTGACTGACTGACTGACTGACGGACCAGTCAAAAACATTATACCTCCCGCAACTAGTTGCGTGGGGTATAATTAGCCAAACTACATATACTAGCAACTCCTGAGTAGGCAACAAAAAAGGAATTGATCCAGTAATGACATATTGTAAATTTATATCATTAAATTGCCTCCCACACATTATATTTTTAAACATTTATTCATGGTTTTTAATTACAAAAAGGAGATACAAAAAAATAGAGGAGAATGAGAAAAGACTAATTAAGGAGTCTAAGAAATATACTTCACACACTTTCAAGCGATGATGGCGGTGATCAACAATCCACCAGCGCAGGCGCCACCCAAGAGAAAAAACCATAAATCAAAGCAACGTCAAGGAACACCACTATCCGACTTAGTGAGGGCAAACCAAGAAGCAAACAATTTTATAACTAAAAAGGTGCCGAAGCTTTCGAGAACTTAAGATAAAAAGATTTTATTACAATGACAGCCAAAATGCTGAGAAAAGAATGTCCATGTCTTCACATTCGTGCATTATCGTTGTCATCTCAAAAACACACTTTATAAAACTGATAATTTTATCAAGTACATGATGATCATTTCTTAATAAAAATGTAATTGTTTGATTTTAAATTATTTAACTTACTTTTTATTCTGTGAAAAAACTTTAAAATTTAATACATAATCCTTAGAATCTATTAGTATATTAATTACGAAAAGAAATCTATATATAAACTTGGAAATGGTAGCAATCCCAATGGAAAACAATTTTGAATATTTAAATGTTAAATGTCTGACATGTTTATTTCTGTCAAATCTTAAGTGAACCGTTACTTTAAACTAACATTATAACTTTAGGATTTACAACACATTTTTTTCTTTGAAAGTGTCAGATTTGATAGAACCCTATTTAATAGTACCCTTTCTTTTCCCTGTGCTTATGGTGACATAACCTTTAAAATTTTATATTCATGAATTTTATCCAAATAGACTAGAAGATAATACCTAATGGGAAACCTATTGTGATTTCAACAGTGCCTTATGGTTAATGTCCAATACTTCCAAAGGTTCTTGAGCTAATGGAAAATCAACGTTATATAATGCGCATCGTGGTCTCAAATCGTGTCATTAGACAGTGGTTTAGGAAGTTTCGGCAGACGAATTCATAACCATCCCTTTGTGACGCTAATAATATCATCCATACATTTTAAAACAGTGAAGAGCTTTCCTATGTTAACTGGTTGAAGTGATATTTTTTTTTACATGACAAAAAAGTCGGTGAGTAGATTTTACACACATGTTAAAAAATAATTAATTGCTATTTTTACTACCACGTATTTAATTGTTGTTCATTTAAAAAAATGAAATGAATTTTAAAGATTCAATCTATGAATTAGATTAAGAAAAACTAGATTTTTGCGGGTTAAAATATTTATGATTTGTTTAATTATTTAGTTGAGAATTTTTTTAACATCAAATATTTCAAAATTTATGGGGAACATTTAATATTTGGATAAAAAAGTTCTTGGGTTCTAACAAAATGAAATTCAAAGTTCCTAGATAATAATAAAATGATAATAAAATATAAAAATTATTATAAAATTAATTAAAATTTAAATTAAATTTTTAAGTGCATTGCATATAGCTCAGGTAATCAATAACAGGTAACGTATTTTTTCTGAAAAAAAAGACAAATCATACCGAAAAGGGGGGATGCAATGTACCAGACAGGATAAATTTATTATTTATTACATGTAATTTAATTTGCATTTTTTCACTTATGATTTTTTTAATCCCCCCATTAAATCCTTCAGAACCAAATGGTCCTCCACTTACTGATTTATCATAATCTAATTAGACTAAACGGATAGTCGATCAAAAATAAAGCCAATTTTATTCATAAAGAAATCTTTTAGAAATGATACGATATATTTTAATGCAGATATACTCAACTACCAAAGTAATACATAATTTAAAATCAAGCAATTTGTACACAATGTCAAGTTTTAAAGTAATAAATCTTAAGTCTTTTTAAAGTACACATATCTTCGATATCATAGTTAACTGGATACTAGATAAACACGTTACATTTTCCTTTGAGTACAACTTGTATGAAAATTCAACGCACTATAAATAAAAAAAATCGAAATTTCTCATAAACCGAGAATGACCTCTTTAGAAATAAGTTTTCTTTCTAAGATGACCCCAACATATTTTTTAACTTCGTTTTCATTCATGTAATGATATGGTTTATCCATTAGTCATTTTCGGATTTTATTGAGTCAAAAGACATTGTGAAGATAAGCAAAATTACACTACAAACAATAACGAGTTAGGTAACTCTTAAAAAAAAAACTTAAGAACATAATTAAACCTCTTTGATGCAAATTTTAGACCTTTTTTTAAAAGACACTCGGGGCCGTTAAACAGTGAGGATCTCTGCACAGTCACTTTTTTGGGGAATATCACCCGTCGTTAAGCAATGTTGGTTATTGCTACGCTGAAGGGCGTGGCTTCATTATTTAGCGGGTAAAACTGATCCTTCACAACCGTTTCTCGACAAATCAGATTCAACTAATTTTTCCTGAAAGTATAATATTAAGGGACAAGTTCATAACTACCATTAAGTATGTTAGCCAAATACCTCACAAAAATTTTAGAATATTCTGAATAGTGAAAAATAGATTTTCTTTGAACTTGGATAAGTTGTGTGTTTAAGTACATGTTCTACATTAATTCGTAAATTAATACTTTCAACTTATGTTTCAATTTCTGTAAATCGGTCATATTACCACGTGCTTCTTTATCGTTTAGAAAACGTTTAAATATTAATTTAAAACATTTGTTTTTTGTTTTACGTCCCAAATCCGAGAATTTTCACTCATATTCATTGAGACTACTTGGCAGTGGTGGGCTGCAATTTTGAGAGCTAGGCACTCCGGGTAATTTAGCAGTGAGGAACCTTTTTCTGGGAGCTCCACACTGTGAATTAGCACTGAGGGACCTTTTTCGTTCCAGCATACCTTTAGTATCAGACTGCGACAAGGGGTCTCATCCGAAGAACGGTCCCTACACTCCGCGGTGGTATATGAATCTGCGACCTGAGGATCAATTCCTAAATCCGAAGTCCTGCAGTGGGTTTTGAACTACGACGTAAGAGCAGGCACTCTTACTGTTGCGCCACGCGGTCTTGAAAATCACAGTAAAAAATAATTGAAAACACTTTAAGATAGTAAAAATGTTTATTCACCAAAACCGTTGTGTTAGTTTTAGCTAATGATAAGACTGTTCGCCACTGAGAGCATCATGGCAACAAACCCGGAGTACATGTAATATAGTAGTAAACTTGATCAACAATTAAATATGACATTGTTCAGCTATACTTGTAACTAAAGCTGTTAAAATTGTGCTTAATTCTTTCTTCAGATTTTTTTTAAAGTGTCTTTTATAACAAATACTAGTCATCAAATAAGCTTTTTAAAGTTTTGTTTACCAATAAATGTACTGACAAATTCTTTATGGGTAAAATTTCCACATAGGATTTATCCTCAAAAGAAATCGAATAACCATGATAACAGCACCCATGGAAGTACAATATTTCTAACGTAGCAGTACATGTATCGAAATATTCAAATATTTGTTGACGAAAAAAGAAAGGATGCGTATAACATCGTACGTTTGCTCCAAAAATGCGGGATTTCCGATTGATTTTTAGTAGAAATCATTACATGTATTAATAGAATTGTTGTCAGAAGTGATTAAAAAAATAAATTATCTGCGCTTACGAGGACTTTCATTGATTAATTTATTATCATAGCTTATTGAAAGTAAATGGTTATTGGTTTTCATTTAATAAATATATTGTCAAATTTATAACATGTTTTATTTTGATATTTAAAGGTCACAGAAATTAATTTGCATTTATTTATTTAGATAATGTCATTTGTTAATTTTCATGGCGAATTGTTACAATGTCATTGTCAGTGCCGTTTTCAAGTACATGGCAAGGTACTCCTTGCTAAATCTTGTCATATCAATTCTGGAAAAACCTTGACTTTATTTTACAGTTGTAATTCATAAAGACATTAAAATGATAACCTGCACTGTTGATAACTGAAATTCTTTCATTATTTCAAAAAATACATACAATCTAAAAAGATTTTAGTATATCGATGCCACGGAGGGTACTATACTTTTCTATATACTGAACAAAAAGGTTAAGGGTTCAACAAATTGAAAGTATTTAACACATACCTTATCAAAGCAAAAAAGAATTTTTTATTTAGTTTCACGTATTATATGCTAAGTTTGAAAATAAAACATTGTATGTGATAAGTTTGATGGAACAAACGTCACAAATTGTTCCTTACGATCACTCTAGCTAAAATTCGCCTTTTTATGTGTACACCTGCAAATAAGAAATCCTCCAAAAAGTCAACAAAAGAGTCAAATCATATCAGTATTTAGCGGGTAAAATTGTTTTTATAAAGATTGACGTCCCTGCGAGGCAATGACGTTTATACAGCGCCGACTTGTCCTGCCCTTCAGCCTGCAAGACCTGCTTAGGGAGAGGGCTAAAATAGGCTGCGCCTGCTGCCCAATCCTATTCACGATTACATCAATGAATAAAATATTGTTTAAATTAAAGGTCTCATCGGAAGGACCCATCACTACGTCCGAAAGTGGGATTCGAACCCGTGACGTATGGATTGACTCCTTACTTCGCGACTCTAGAGCAGACACTCTAACCATTGCGACACGCGGTTATTATAAATATAACATAATACTGAAGTACAAAGCTTAAATCAAGAATCTTACGAGTAAACCCAAGTGCATGGTCAGTCATCTTAATACGTAGAATTATTGTCAAATTACATGACTTGAGACAAGCATGCCTTTAAATTTACCTGAAGTATATTGTAACATAAAACAGATTTTTGTGTACATGTTAGGAGTATATTGCCGAATAACATTGTATTTTGATATTCAAAGTACAAAGAAATTAATTTGCTTTATTTCCAAACATTGTATTTATTTAGATATCGTGAACATTTTTTTTATTTCCTTAGATGTGTAATTCGTCATGTACATGTAATATATCAGAAAAGCTCTGTCAAAGTACATGGCAAAATATTGCAATAGCATAATCCCTTAATACACGTTTGGAAGGGTATTGCTAAATACGCGGATACGGAAAACGGAACGGAACGGAAAAGTACAAATATAATTAATTTGCATTAAATTCAAATTTAGATTTTATCAGAAACGGTAAATTTGCATATTTATTTCATTAATAAAGATGTGTAACGTCGTACATGTAATTATCAGAGCTCTGTCAAAGTACATGGCAGGGTACAAATGTTCTAGCTTAATCCCTTAATAGACGTTCTGGAAAAAAGGTTAATTAACAGTACATTCATGACCCATGAAACCTATTCAAGACCTTTGTGGTACATCTTTTTGTGAATAAAATATTGTTTAAATTAAAGGTCTCAATAATCGGAAGGATCTACTTCATCAATATTTTTCTTATGTATGAAAATGTTGGGAATACGAAACTTGTATAATTATAGTTGTTTCATTATCTATGTAAATAAATAAGTATTAACTTTTACGATTGATTTTACACAAAGAATAATAACGATAAATACGATTTTTAGTTTCATGTCAGTGTACATCCTCTAACCATTGCGACACGACGGTTATTATAAATATAACATAAATTGTGAGTACAAATGTTTTTCTTAAATCATAAGACATATAATAAATTAAATTCAACTTTTTTTATGTTTTGCTTAATATGTACAATTGAATATATGTCAAATTACATGACTTGAGACAAGCATGCCTTTAAATTAACCTGAAGTATACTGTAACATAAAACAGATTTTTGTGTACATGTTAGCAGTACATTGCCGAAAAACATTGTATTTTGATATTCAAAGTACAAAGAAATTAATTTGCATTTATTTATTTATAATCGTCATTTGCTTTATTTCCTGGAGATGTTATTTAATAATTAATCGTACATGTAATGATCAGAGTTCTGTCAAAGTACATGGCAGGGTACAAATGTTCTAGCTTAATCCCTTAATAGCACGTTCTGGAAGTGTTCGTAGATTTCAGTGTAATGGCACATAGTAAGACAACTATAAGATACAAAACTGTGTGTCGGAAAGCGGAACGGAACGGAAAACGGAAAATATTTTTTCAGATGAAATCATTCAAAATACACAAATTTTATCAGAAACGGTAAACTTATGCATATTTAATCCCTC